TGCTCAGAGATCAATGAAGCGCAGCAAAGACCATATTTAACAGGAGAAATAAAAGTGGGAGCATGCTGGCAAACCCTGACAGTGGAGCATAATGTCGCATCATCGCGCTGAAGGTTGGGAAGTAATTGAAATCTATGTTAAAGCACAGTACATCCCTGTGCAGATTTGCAGGCACAGAACCCAATTCCAGCTCTAATGTCTGAGCAATTCATTTGCTTTAAGCAGACCCAGGCTTGGGGGGTTCTCATTAGGTGCCAGTGGGGAGCACTGGTCTGTGCTGCTGCCCACAGTGCCCCTGCTGCCCCCACACTGTGCCCTCTCTCCTGCCAGCCTGCAGGGAGCAAAAGCCCTTCACCAAGGGAGCGGGGGGGGGGGTTAGGGGACAGGATGATTGCCCTCAATACAAATTAACCATCCTGGCATTTCTGTCTGGGTGGCTCTGGTAGGAAGATGTTTCAGCTCTGCAGCTGTGCCCATGGACAGCACTGGGGCAGGTGCTGGGGTCAGTGGTGCTGCTGATCCCATTGCCAGTGGAGTGCCTTGCTCTGGGAAGTGCCCTATCCTGGGGGTCATGCCCTGCCCTGGGATGGTGTCCTGCCCTGGCAGAGGATCTGCTGCCTGAAGAGGTTGAGGTGGCTGAGGAGCAGCAGGAGGGACTGAGGGTGCTGGGTCCCTGCCGGCCCTGTCTTGGAGTGTGGCTGTCCCTGCTGCACTGGAGCTGTCCCCTTGTCCCATGCCATGCTGTGCCCTGTGGGACGCTGTGCACGTGGGACTCCTTCACCCTGAGCACCCTTCCTGGTGCCCCAGCTGCCTGCAGAGCCCTGGCAGGTCCCCTCCAGGCAGCTGCAGCTCCACCGTGTTTGCGGTTTCCATTGTCATTCTGGAGGCAGCAGCCAGCTGATTTTTCTTCTCTGTAATATATTGCCACTATAATACCAAGTCTAGCAGAACAATGAACTCTAGAGGATGGAGATACCTTCCTCCTGTTTTGCAAACTAAACATAATTTTTATTTGTGCTCAGGTTTCTGGCTGGTGCAAGGGGAGAGAGGAGGGGGACAATGCTGGGTAGGGGGAACTCTGTCCCTGGTCCTGCCTTGGGACTCAGTGCTCCTGCTGTCCCTGCAGCCCCTGCAGCATTGGGATGCAAGGAAGGAAACCTCCTTTTGTCAAGTATCGTGGGGTTTCAGAAAAAACTCTTCAACCCAGATTAATTACTGCTATCTGGCCTCACCGGGGCTGGTCCACCTGCTGCAGCCAGAATGGGCTGAAATTCTCATTCCCTTTCTGCCTTCCTCTTTCTCTCTCCTCTCTCTCTCTCTTTTTTTTTCCTATTTACTTCTGCTTTAATCTGCATATTATCATCAGTGCAAAGACCTCTGAAATAACATCTGACAAATGATGCCTATTAAAAAAAACTCTGCACTGTCCTCTTTCACCGCCTTCCAATTTGGACTAGCACTATAACTATGCATCAATAGACAAGCAATATTATGTTAAGAACATGATAAAATACCAGCAGCTTCATAATGGCAGCAGCCAAATGGTAATTTCTGCTTCAGAAATTGGTCATTTATTTTGCTGGTCTGTTCTTACGTTCAAATTAGATGAAGTTTAATATACTGTAAAATTGAATGTATTCTATCCTTTTCAACAAATATGGCATGTATGAGATGATTTATGGGTCTTACAAACCTTAAAATGTTAAATAATCTCCTTTTTCCTGTGCCTTAAGTCAGTGATGCCAAATAGTTTAAATACAGAGAAGCAAAACTTTATTAGCTCCTATCCTGGTCATCACTTTATTTTGCTGCATTTACCGAGATAGGAACAGTATTTAACATATTAGACTGAGTTTAAAAGCAGCCATATTAATTGGTACATTAATTTTACCCTATTAACTGTAATTGGTAGGAAAGTGATTCTTCCCCAGTAAATGTTGTAATTTGTGTTTTAAATTTTTAATAAGTCATCACTGCAGATGCCTAAATGAGGGAGCTCCTCTCGTCTCAAACCTCCGGCCCTGCTGTGCTTCCCTGTCCAGTGGGTCGTGGGGCTCCCCCGCAGCATCCAGGAACACCAGCCCATGGCTTCGCCTCTGCCAGCTCCCTCCCTGCCTCTGGCTCTGCCCATGGTGCCCCTGGCACACCCCTCATATCAGGATCAGCATTTGGGGTGCTTAAGATTACTGAAAATGTGCAAACTCCACCCTGATTTGAAAATAGGTATTTTAACGTGGTCAAACTTTCCGAGTGTCTGGCAGCTGTAGCTCGGGGTATATTCAGCTCCCCACAAGGCTGGTGAGAGCAGCTCCTCTGAGCAGGGGAGGGAAGTTTGATGGGGCCTGCCCTGCCCCCCAGGATGTCCCCCTTCCCCAGCCCCATTGCACATTAAACCCTCTCCAAAGGTCTGGCCCCAGATCCAGGGAAATCCCTGGGGTGACTGCCCTGGCTGTGGGGTGGGGTGATGGGTGACACAGAGGCAGCCAAGGAACGGAATGGGGGTGACTCCCTCCTGGCTTGCAGTTATTTAAAAACAAATTGTCTCCTTGCCCTTCGCCTTTCCTGTGTCTCCTGATCAGCAGCTCGTCCCTGAGGATAAGCCTCAGAGCAGCACAATCTCCTGCATCCCCTGGAGCCACAGCCCTCTGCGCCAGGAGGAGTGAGAAGCCTTTTATTCTGTTTATTTGCTCTATATAATTTTTCCTGCTCTTGCTGACCCTTCTGGGAAGTGTTCCACCCTTCAGGCTCTCTGCTGGGTGCCAGAATTACTGAGCTTAGGCTATATTTGCATTTCATATCCTAGTTAAACCAACATCATCAAGGTCAGGACACACTGTTGAGTTGGAGTAGGCTACAAGACAGCAGCCCCTGCTCAGCAGAGGGGCCAGCACAGAACCAGCCCCCCACTCTGTGCCCGTGCTCATCCCAGCCCTCTCCCAGCCAACAGAAGGGGCTTCTGCTCCGGGCTCTGCCCTCCAGCCCCCCACAGGAGAGGCAGAGCAGGGGCTGCTTCCCTGGGGAGATTATTCTGTCTGAGTGCTCTCATTGTGAAAAATTTTCCTCTTGTGTCCAAATGGACCCACCCTGGGAGGAACTGGTACCCATTTCCCCTTGGCTTTTCCATGTGAGTTCTTGTACAAGGGGATTCTTATAGTTCTGCCCCTCTGGAGGGGCACAACCTCCCTACCCGCAGTGCAGGGGTGCTGATGTGTATCTGTGTGTGTGTGTCCTACAAACAGGCTGGAACAAGCAGCAGCTGCAGAGAACACAGAGATGTGCTGTAATGATTTTTACATCCATGAACACTGTCTGGTTTTCCTTTCATTAAGGAACATTTCTTATGGGAAAGTAGCTGGATTTCTGATGTGAAAAAATAGTTCTGTTCAAGACTGAGAGCTGTTTAGAATAAACGCCAGACACTGTGTGATGGAGACATTGCATGGAGACTTAATGCTGGTCACATCCCTTCTCTGCCAGTAAGTCAAGGATGTGTCTTTGCTATTGTATTTGGTGACTCATCTTTCAAATAATCATCTCTGGAAGAATTCTGTGCCAAGATGAAAAAATGCCTGGATCCCAGAAGCGTGTGTGTGTCTTTCTGTGAGTACAGCCCAGGAGGGAGCTGCAGAACAGCTGTGCTTGTCCTTGCCAGGGGGGTCTGGGGCTGTGGGGCACGGGCTGGCACGGTTCCCTTGCCCAGGCAGCACCTGCCCTGGGCACAGGTCAGGGAAGGGGTGAATGCCAGTTCTGGCAGGAGGTAGCACTGTCTTGTGCAGGTCCCCCTGTGGTTTGGCTGGAGAACAGGGTCAGGTCCGTGGTATGGGGCAGACACAGAACTCTGCCCCACACCTGTCTGTGCCCACCTGCCTCGGGGCTGCAGCCACGGCTACCTGAGCTTTCGAGCACCTGAAGGCTCCCTTCGTCCTCAGAGCAAAATATGCAGATGAGGTGAGTAAGTGAAGTGCTGTATGCTAATGCATTCAACAGAGCCACTGTTCCATAACATCCAACCTACATACGGAGGATGTGCTGGAATTGGCTTCCCTGGAAAACATTTACTCACTGCTTAACAAAAAGTTACATGAACTCATTAAGCACGTAACAAGATGGTGAACAGCAGAGAAGCTGTAGGTGCCGTGTGGGCTGAGTCCCAGCAGCTGTGCCCACGGGGAGAGCTGGATTCCTTGGTGGCACTGAGAAGGCTCTGGCAGCAGATGTGTGCCTGGTGATGGTGAAATGTGGCAACAGCATTTTATTTGCAGCCCATGGTGTCAATGGCCCCTAGCCAGGCTGCCAGGCTGTGAGCACCATCTCTGACCAGGCTGCCCCACACTGGGCTGGCAGCCATGTGGCCAGTGCCATCAGCAATCCGTGTCTCTAGGTGCAACCTCCCCCATGAAGGAGCAGGTCAGCTCCATGCATGTGCTCCAGGTGCAGGAGGAAGAGTCTCCTGTGTTGCAGAATTTGGGGCCCCACGGTTCCCTCTCCGCTGTGGAGCGTTGCTGTGTGCCCAGCACCTGAGAGTGCCCAGCACCTGAGAGTGCCCAGCAAGGTGTGCACGGCCAGGGCTCCAGCTCACATTGCTGTGAGCTCTTGCTTTCTGTGTTTAAAATAATATAGTGAATGCTGCAGTTTTGACAGGACCAAGGGCTGACTGGCTGCTCTGAGCTCTGCTGCTGCGAACAGAGCAAGACAGATGGACGTGCTGGTAGCATATGCCATTCCCTTTGAGTTACATGGAAAGACGTTTTCCCCAACAGAATGGGGTTGAAACTCATAGTTCTCAGGACATTAGAGGATTTCTAGCATATGTCTCTGGGAGCACTGGCTTGGGTTTGTTTGGTTTTTCACTTTCTGAGAGTAATTCTCATACTGTAAATCTTACAAATCAACTTTGCCATACAAGTAGTCATATCTGGAAGGAAAACATCAGGCTTACAATTTTATTATTAACTCCTGCTAAAAGAAAATGTTAGTTAAACCATTTTTCTGTCTTACAGAGAGACAGAGATGGCCCCAGACCACAGGGATAAGCCTGAGTTCTTGCTGCTGTGCCTGCTCTCCGGCTTGGGAGCTGCAGCTCTCCAGAACCTGTGAAGCCCCTCTCAGCAGGACCCTCCTCTGTTGTGAACTCTGGCAGATTGTGAGAACTGGAAAGTGGTCAAATCACAGCCTCTCAGCACAGTCACTAATGAAGTGTCTGTGCAGCCTGGTCTCATGCCAGGCAGGGCCGTGCTGCTGCCAGTGCTTGGGACTAAGAAGTGGCACAGTTGCCTGAAGGGTTGCAGTGGGCTTTTAAAAATAAAAAAAAATTCTGAGCAGTAAACCTTGCTAGGCAGTAAATGTCTGCTGGACAAACAGGTCAGCCCACAGGGCAGCCAAAACTATCAGTGCTTGGGCAAAGCAGGTAAATCATTGGCCCTGCTTCAAGGAGATCACCTGCTGTGAGCAGCTCCTGTCACTGGCCAGCTCTGGAGTCTTGTTGCTCCAGTCACTGCAGCCTCTGAAACCATGGGACAGGGAGGAGCAGACAGTCACAGTGTTGAGAAATTAGATTAATAATAATAATATAATAATAATGGCCAGTCTTCGTGAACGAAGATTTGGGGAAAGGTCTTTTTACCTTTCCAGCCTGCGCAATGGATTTTTTAGGTGAGACACAGCCTGCGCTGAACTGAGCCCACCCTTTAATCCTAAGGTTCATCTGCCGGGGCCAAGCAAGCTTGGACAATGGCAGTGAGGTCCTCAGGACGTAGGTTTGTTTAGAGTGACCTTCTCATAGATGGATGGCCTTACAGGGCTAACGGGCTCCATCTGCCCGGGGGACTGGCTGGGATTCGAACCTGGGTCGCAGAGGTGAGAGTCCTGCATGCTAACCACTAGGCCACCAGGGGTCCCCTGAGAAATTAGATTAAATTAGCAGGAATTACCTGTGATGAGACACTTCTCCCAGGTAAATTGGGAACACTGAGGGAATGCATCACTTGTCCATCCTCTACCACAGCACTGGACAGGGAGAGGTTTCCGATGCAGGCACAGCATCCAGTCCTCTGGTTTCACATGTCATGTGAATGTTATGATTGCCTGGAAAAAGCTGAATTTGTCAGAGGACTTACTCTCAGCTTATTCTTCTCAGACAAAATCCTTCAAGAGGTGAGGCCACCCCCATGACTTGCTTATTCTTCACTCCTTTCATTAACTGCAACTTCTCCTGCAGTAGCTTTCTTAGATCCAGATAAAACCCAGCCATTTTCTTCCCCTCATTGAACTAGGGCTGAATCCCAGCTGAGAACAGCTGGGTGCTGCCCAGGGTCCCTGGGGAGGGGGACAGATGTCAGTCCCTGGGGTGGGAGCACTGGAGCCCCTGCCAGGCCCACGCTGGCACTGTGGCTGGGGGAGTGTGGCTGGGCCAGCACCTGACAGGGTGATGCTGCTGCCCTGGCAGTGCTGCCAGCTGCACTTACAGCTTCCCAAACCCTTCTCCCTTCCTGGGAAGTGTCTCCCTCTGCCACTGCCACATTTGATTTTGCTAGCAATGGCCTGCAGGCCTGGTGGCTCTGCCGTACCTGGTGGCTCTGCTGGACCTGCCGCTCGGGTGCCTGGCTGCAGCACCAGCCCTTGCTGCACACCGGCCCCGCAGCCTCTCCAAACAAGCTTTGAAGGATGCTTACACTATTAACAGGGTATATTTATAACTGTTCATCTCTGTCAGTTGGGTGGAAAATTGCCAGATGTGCCGTTTGCCTTCATTACACAGACATCTCCTGCATCATCTGGATCAGTTCACTCAGCAGCATCACTGCCAGGGAAACCTCACTGCTCGTGCACGGTGTGGATGTTTGTGGGATCTGCCTTGGTGAGTACAGGCAGCAACACCCTGGAGGCAAGTTTCCCCACTGTACAGCTCTCTGGATTTAGCCTCGTGGGAGGTAAAGGGTGCAGCAGAGCCGGGAGCTCCTCACTGGGGTCAGAGCAGCCAGGGCTGCCAGGGTGGGGCAGTGCAGTCACGGAGACCAGTGCCCTGCCCCTGGGCTGGCTCACACTGCTGGAGCTCATACACCCCCCTTTGGAGGCAGTAGGAAACCCTCTGGAGAGGGCTGTTCCCTGCTCTGAGGGGTGCTCAGGAGCTGCCAGAGGGTCCCTGCTGGGCAGGGGGTCCTGGGCAGCACAGATGCCCCACAAGCAGGAGAGGTGACCCAGAGACAGCAAATATCCCTTCTTCTGACAGAGAAGGAGGCAAGAAGATAAGAATGGCTTAAACAGAAAGAAATTGCCTCCAAATAAAATGTTTTTCCTCGTTTCCCATGATATAGTGAAATTTCTTCATGGGCAGATAGTCAGAGTAGAGTCCATTACACTCCATGCTTTTTGCCTTGAAATATAAATAGCTGCATCTCATATAAGTGTTTGTTATGAGGAAATGCGTGTGCCAGGAAAAGTTAGACATTAAACCATTATTTCATGCAGAAAGATATTGCTAAAGGGAGAGGATTACTTACTATATTAATTCTGTCCTTCAGCTACCAGTATGTCTCTCTGTACATAATGACTTTAGTCACAAATGTGGTGGTGTAATAATCCCAGTTACCTCAATTCCAACTTTCTTGGAGACTGTGCATACAGTGACCCTCCCTCTGGGCCCTGTGGGGACAATGGGGCAGCAGGAGTGAGAGCAGAACTTCCTGTTAACATGTAGGTAAATCTGGCAGCCCCTCTCCTTCCACAGGGTGCATATGGGCAAGTGCTGATATTTGGTATCAGACCTTGCGTTACAACTAAAAATTTCAAAACATCCTTGTTGGTGGTATAAAGTAATAGTGATGTGACCCTCAAACTATTTCTTCTGATTTCCAGTCTTGTACCTGGAGTCAGAAGAGCATCTTAAAAGGCATCAAGAATTTTCTAATCAGATTTATTTCCCAGCAAATGACTTGTAGAGGGAAAATTTCTGAGGTCAGCAAAACCAAAAAACCCCAGCACAGTGTCCCAGGAAAGCTGGGAGGTGACAGCATCAGTTTGTTAATTTATCTGTGCCTGGACCGAGCAGGATGTCAGAGGCTGTTGGCACAGGGCACCAAAGCCAGGGTGCTGCAGGGCCCGAGGTCACAGGCACCAGGGCAATGAAGGGAGGCAGCGGCCCAGGGCAGGGTTATTCCTGCTGACAAAGCTGGAACGGGTCACTGTGGTGTTGCAACCTGCCCAGCTGACTAATCCCCACACTGCCACTCTCCTGGCCCCAGGGTATGAGAGCTGATGGCAGAGCTCTTGGCTGGCACTGGTCCTGTGTTTGCTGAGGCAGGTGCAGAATGCACAGAGCTGCTGCACAGAGGAATGGGAACAGCAGTGAGCAGCAGGGGCTGACACTGCCGTGTGATCAGAGCCCATCTGGGGCACAGCAAACCCGAAATGATACCATCTGGGTTCTGGGAGGAGTAGGAGTGGTCAGTAGAACTGCCTCCTTGGACAACCAGAGGGCAGACTGACCTGCTGAGGAGCCTGGTTGACAGAGTTCCCTGGGAGCAGTCCTGAAGGGCACAGGATGCCTCCAGGGATCCACAGGTCTGTCAGTCCGACCTTGGTGTCAGGGAAGCTCATGGAGCAGATCGTCTTGAGTGTCAACACACAGCACGTACAAGACAACCAGGGGATCAGGCCCAGTTCAGACTGGAAATAATTTCTCCATGGAAAGGGTTGTCCAGCCTGGCACAGGCTGCTCAGTGCAGTGATGAAGTCACCATCCCTGGAGGGACTTAGAAGCCGTGTAGATGTGGCAGCTGGGGACATGTGGCAGCCTTGGCAGCGCTTGGGGAGTAGTTGGACTCAATGGTCTTAGAGGACTATTCCAACCTAAACAATTCAAAGATTCTATGATGCCATGTAGTAAGTCATCCTTATTCAAAGGGCTCTGTTTGAAACCTGGCATTGGCATATACAGAACATGTTGCATCTTTGCTGGTACCTCTTCAATCTGGCTTGCAAGACATCCTGGAGGACGTGACCTTGGAGGCAGGCAGAATATCGAACCTGCATAATCTGAGCATCTCCACATTGGTGGCAGCCTGTTGGGTACAGGGCAGTTAATAAATAATGAGGATGTCAAAGATGACAGCAGGAAAAGCGGGAGCAGGTAGCAGCTTTGCAGCCAGCTCTCTGACAGCCGCTTGGCAACCTCCAATTAGGAGGGGTGTGCTGGTGTTCATCGCAGTGCAGAGCGCCCGGCGCCTGCTCCCGGGAGCCAGGATGCAGCACTGGGGCAGCCTGTGGCACTGCACTGGCTGGACACGCTCCCGAGGGCACGGGGAACTGGGGGACACTTCGAAGAGCAAATCCCAGGAGGCAGCAGGAGGCTCCCAGCTACAGCACTGCAGGGATACAGGGCAGCAGCTGCCACGAGAGCTGCGCTCGCTGCCCTCTGACAGGGTGGGCCAAGGGGGGTAGAATCCTGCTCGGAGCAGAGACTGAGGCATTGCAAGAGACAGCTGGATCAGCTGAATATGGGGCTTGTTTCTCGGGGCTTGGGGGAGAGGAGTACACTGGCCTCAGTGCCATGTTGAGGCACCTCCTCAGGACACTCGTCCCTGCCCACAGGTGTATCCTTCAGGGGTCGAATTATACCACGCCACAACTCAAAGATTAGGACCCTGAGGTGTAATTGATCTTCTGATGGCTTTTTAAACATCTGGTGAGAAGGGGCTGCTTTCCAAACAGCAAAGTCTACACCAAAATGATCTTGATTTGAATAAGTATTCCATCCCTGTTTGGTAAATATACCCAGTGTTAATGGTGCTTAATGGTGCCTGTAATTGGTGTCTAAAGTTATTTAAAAGTAAATTTACCAGAAAATAATTAGCAATTTTATAGTTCACTACTTCCTAATCTTGTTGATAAAAGTTTTTCCGTGGTTTTTATCAGATGACACAATAGGGCTCTGCTGTGAAATAACCTTTTTCAAATGAGCAGGAAATTGTGCACACAAAATAAGATTAAAAAAATTTCCTCCTAATTTCTTCGCCTGGCAGCCAGCCCTCTCTCTCCTTTTATTATCCACTGACTTATCCTTAATCAGCAACTGAAACTTCCCAGGCATTGCTTGGGGATTTGTTCTCTGTGACCTTGGGAGCTGTCCCCCACTGCAGGGACAAACCTCACTGCAGGACACACGGGCTGGCCAAGGTGGTCCTGGTCCTGCTCCTGGTCCTGGCTGCAGTGTGGCCCTTTTGGCAGTGCTGGGGCTGTGGCCCATGGGGCAGGAAGGGGCAGCCAGCCGGGCTGGCAGGTGGCAGATCATGGCCAGCGCTGTCCCGTCCTGGCTCCCACTCGTGGGGTGTTGGTGCTGCTGGGGGGGTCCAAGAGAAATGGAATCGAGAAATGCAGCTGCTACAACCATTTATTGTTTAGTGCTGTGGGTTCCAGGGTTCAGTTCCAGACGGTCGTGTCGTTCAGGTACAGAGACACCGACCGACAGAGACGCATTTGGGAGGAGGCGACAGCACAGCAGGTTGGGTTCAGAACAGACCAACTCTCCATTTTCAGTCTCTGAACCAGAAAGTACCAGCTTTTCCAGAACAATGAATCACCCAGTCTGTATATAAAATTAAATATAATTTATGCTTTGCTAATTGAAACCAAATACAAAATTCAATTTCCTGTGTATTCTAATGCTGATATTTGAATAGTTTAAAAAAAAGGTGTTACTAACCTGACTCTCGTTTGGCACACCACTCTCCAGCCATATAGAAAATAATTCTCCCTCCAGCCCTGGTGACAAGCGCAGCAGTCATGGGGTGCATTTCAGAAGAACAAAACAGAATAACCTCCCCCAGTCCCTGTGCCCCCAGCCCACCCCAGAGTGCCTGGTGTGTTCCTCGGGAAAGGGCTGGGGTCAGGGGGTCCTATCCCACCACGCTGAAGTGGTTGGTGTCCATGGGGCAGCTGCTCAGGGCAGGAGAGCGGGGTCTCCTCTCCCACTGGGCACACATCAGCTCCTGCCAAGCTGGAGATGGCATCTGGTATAAAAAATAAACCTCTGAATATATGGCAGAAATAATGGGAGTGGATGTGGGGTGGCAGGCGGGAGTGGGCACAGCGTCTCCCCGGCCCACCCAGGAACCATCGTCCCCCGGAGCTGAGCCCCTCTGATGGGCAGCCAGGGCCACAGTCCACCACCTCCAGTCCAGGACTGCAGCATGCTGGACACAGGCAGAGATTCCTGGATATCCCTCTGGTGACGGGAACGTTGGGCCTGGAGCCCCTCATCTTCCAATAACTATCTTGCACCAAATCCAAATTATGCAACAACAGGTTTAGTTCAGGACCTGTTCTGACATTTTAATAATATGTGAAGCACTGTAAAATTATTCCTATTACATACTTCCAATTTTCCTGTAATAATTTGGAAGTTTGTGGGTTTCTGAAAACTGTGCTATGTCAGGAGCTGATTTTAAATCTGACCAGGCTGATGGGAACTGACGTGACGTCAGCAGGGACCTTGCAGTGCCCCTCCAGCATGGCCCATGCAGTAAATTGTTCAAATGGCTTCAGCTTTTATCATCCAATACAAGGCACCAGCACCACTTCACGGTGTAATGAACCACACGACAGGCCCTGGAACCCCAAGTAGGTTCAGCTTGTCACCCAGTGCAAGGCTGATTTCATCAGGTTAGCTGGAGCCATAGGGAGTTCTACATTAATCAGAGCTGAGTCCTGGTCCTCCCGCAGCAATCCCGCTCTCCACGTCTGCCAGGGACCTGCTGTCCAACAGCACGGGGCTTGCATGTCATTACATCCCACCCTGGAGGCACCTGCAGCCCTCATCAGAGCAAAGAGCCGGCAGTATCCGAGTATGCTCAGAAATCACCGTGCGAGGGACGTTTCAGCAGCTCTGTGTTTTTTCCCCATTGTTCTCTCTCTGCCTGTTCTCTCTCGTTTTCCTCAGCGATGGAGGTGGAACTGTGCAGCTGTGTTGAAGCACTGCTCCTGCTCTCTGCTGGGCCCAGCAAGCAGCTCCCATGGCGATGGAGGATCCAGCTGGGATATAGGTTTAGTCTACAATTTCTACCAGGATTTGCAAATTTAGTTGACTTGGCCGTTTCCACTAGAAAGCACAGGTTTTGTGTGCTGAGCAGTGCTTGCCCTGGGAATTAATTGCTGTTTTGTAATTCTGAAGTATGATGAAGGCTGCTTCCCTGTTCTGCAGCCCCAGCTGTCCACAGCAAGCAGCAGGGGTTGCATTTTCAAGGTGCAAATGACCGGCAGTGCCAGGGGTCCCAATGGTCAGACCCTGTGCTGGGGCCCTGCAGCCACCCCTCAGTCCCCACCGGGATCGCTCCGAACCGCGAGCAGGAGCTGCTGCACAGACATGCTGTGGCTTCACTCTGTGCCTTGGCCGGGCAGTGGGAGCCTGGCTTGCTCCTGGAAAACCGAGGAATGTTCTTTCAGCTTCTGGGAGGATGAGAGTCTGGGGGATCCCAGTTCTGACCTCACTGAGCATCCCAGCAAAGCAGGAACAACTCTCTTCCAACACAGGAGATGTATCAGTCGGAAGAGAATTGGGCCCAGGTGTTTGTGGCACTTGGTAAATTCTAGTTTTAGTGCAACAAGTAATTGAAACATCCGGTGCAAATGAAGTTCCTGTACATAGTTTCACTGCAGCATAACTGGCTTTATTCCTTCCACACACTAGGAGCAGTGTGCATATGAGTGCACACGGCCTGAATTTACCAGACCTGATGCCGCTGTTTGGGAAAAACTAAAATCCAGGGCAGGAGAAATCAATTCTATGGGTTTGTCCCAGTGCTGGGTTTTGGGAGCTGCCCTCCCGCCCAGCTCGCTGTGGCAGGAAGCTGGTCCTGCCTGCCTGGCTGCAAGGGGGACACCAGCAGTGAAATGTCAACACAAAGCACTCCATCACCCCAAGGAGCCCTGCTCCCTCTGCCTCCTCCTCCTCCCACCCACCCTTGACCCCCACTGTCATGGTGGGGAGAGCCCGAGAGCAGCCCGAGGTGACAAACCACTGCAGTTTCAGGAGTGGACACACGGAGCAACTTCGGCTGCAGCCTGGACAGCGCCAGAGCCTGGTACACACAGGCCTGAGCCTCTGGCCCCGAGTGAGTTTTGAGTCTCAAATGATGACTCCCATCTCAAAAAAAAAAAAAAAGGTTTTTTCCTGAACTTGTGTTCCTACTTATCACTTTCTTCCTGCTCCCACTGGAAATCTTGGCCCGTCATTTGGTAAAACATGACATTGAAGGGTTTGTAAAATTTCCTCAGTCTATGGATGACGTCTGGGTCTATTTTGGGGTGAGTTCGACCCTTGGACTTGCCCAAGCAGCGGGGAGCACTGCTGTCCTCTGGCTTCTTTAGACAGGGAAACCCCTTGGTTTTATTAAAATAAAAATGCTTCTCTGTCACAATCCTTTTGAGGCCTAGGAAGTCCTGGACCTTGGCCATTTCCCCTGCTGGGTCAGTGATGAGCCTCTCACCACTGACAAACAGGATCTGGGAGAGGGGGAAGTACTGGAGCCAGTTCTCCAAGTGCAGGGCATAAATCCCGATGCGGATTGCACTCCAAGAGGCGTCGATCAGCCCCAGAGTCCGGTTCTTGAAGGCCAGCACCTCAAAGGTGGGGATCTCCGGCTTCTTGGAGAGGGTCTGTGTGTAGTCCGAGATGGCCCTGGTGACCGGGTTCCGCACCACCACGATCAGCTTCGTGTCCTTGGCCATGGAGTGAATGCGCCGAGGGGCCTCATTGGTCACGAAGTAGCTGGGGGTCTTCTCCATGGTGATCTGCCCCTCCAGCGTCTTGGGCATCACATTCCTGTGCAGAGGCAGAGGAGGGGGTTAGTGAGGGGCCAGGCAGGGGTGGGCATCCAGCGTCCCTCCTGCCCCGTGCAAGTGTTGGCAGGATGTTCAGGAGGAGGGACACTGTCACTCCCACAGGTCCCACAGACCCAAACACTTCTGGTTTTGTTTCTTCTCAGCCCCTGGCCATGGTGGGCACCTGAAATGTTAAGTCAGCCTTGGTGACACATTATACAGGCAATTTGCCATAGGCATATGTAGACCAAAGCTAATTGACACTAAACCTGCACAATACCTGCCTGTTCAGAAGCCATCTGCTCCCATTTGCTCAATTAAGCCCATTCATTCCAGAGCTGCTGTACAGAGCAGCGCAGTTCGGATTACACAGGACCTTTTTGTTGTGATGACATGCTTTTAAATGTCTCAGCTAATAAAACTTAATACAGAATAAGATCCCTTGCTTCTAGTACAATAATTAAATTTATTTACTATCTTGTGTGTGAGAAAGAATGACTTTTCTTTTATCTCTAATTCACATGCTCTGTCAATAATTAATTGCTGCTGGGTTTTGAGCTTCCCATGCAAGCACTTTTATTAGCCAAAAGGAATTTGCCTACTGGATAAATTAGCATGTAGCAAGATTTTCCTGGATAGCATATTACCATATCGTGAAATGAAACTGCAGTGAAATAGCAGTTATGGCTAAGAAAATGAAGAGGTAAATGCTTGTCCCAGTGCCCCCAGTTAGGGATTATCACAGTGAGCCAGAGGGTCCTTAGTGATGTCCCTTGCAAGAGCAGCACTGCCCTGTTCACACCTCCTGTGCTGCCCAGGGTGGAGGGGCTGGGGGCTGTGTCACAGCTGGGCCCCTGCTCGCTGCCCGTGCCCACCCGTGCCATGGCCTCACCCGTGGGCAGCCCCAGCCCTGCCACGGTGCCGAGGAGTCACTGCTCCCGGGAAGTCACTGCTCCCGGGAAGCGCTCGCGGCACCAGGCAGGTCTCCTGTGGCACATCCAGGCTGGCCATGCCCAGGATCTTGCAGGATTATCCCTTCATATTGCAACTATTTTTTAGTACAGACATATGGTGAGGAAACAATGCGAACAGGCTGGAAATGGCTCTGTGAGAGCACCTGGGGCAGCAGCAACCACAGCGATGCTGACGTCAAAGTGCCGGGCGTCAGGAAGACCCATTTCAGGAATCACACAGCTGAAGCCTGGAGCAGGAGCAGCTGACAGGCACAGCCCAGCGAGATGTGCCTGTCAGTGTAACCTCATATTTGTGGCTGCTAAAGGCATCAGATGGCTTTAACCTCCCCCATCATTTGTGTATTCACTGCTGGTCGTGCCAGGCTTGTTCTGCTGAGGTGCTGCTGGGGGAGGCGAAGGGCTGCCACAGGGCTTCCAGTGCCCTCAGCATTTTGGGTGAAGAGGCCAGTAGTTCCTGGGGCTGCCCCTCTCCTGCTGCAGAACCTTCCCAACTGAACAGTCTCTATCTGAGTCCCAGCAACGGGGCCTGCAGGGCTCCAGCTCCCTGTCTCAGAGCCAGCATGCTGGTGGCCAGGCTCTCCAGGAAGCCCATCCCTCTGGCATCAGGCCCCACTGGAGCTGCCTTCCTGATGGCAAGGTGCCTGCAGTCCTCTCCTCTGCCCAGAGCACTCTTGTGCTTCATCCCTGCCTCGCATCAGCCACTTGAGTAGCAGTGGCACGCAGGGAACAAGGATTAGTCAGAACGATACATCTTGAGGTATTTTTTCCTTTAAGAAAAGCCTGAACAAATTAAGAGGGATGTGAGCATTTGCAGAATTACACACCAGCTTCTGTGGGGGGATCCAGCACCTGGATTTAACAGCCCTGTGGGAAGGAAGCAGCTTTTGTGGCTATGCACATCACAGCGAGCCCCACGGTACAATCAGAGATGAGCCCTCGGGTGCCCACAGGGTGCCCTTGGCCGAGCACGAGGTGGTGTGAGGGACTGGTGTGAGGAAAGTGAGCAGAAAATGAGGCCAGGAGGCTGAGCACGTGGGCAGCAGCGCTTGCCCAGAGGACAACAGGAGCAGAGGTGCTCCCTGCTGCTCACCACAAGCCTCTGACAGATGGGGTAGAAATTATGTCTCATTCTTGGGACAGAGCAGTGACAGGAGGGAGGAGAGATGGGGGCTGAGCAGGAGGAGGGCTGTCGGCTGCCAGGGGCTGCCAGGGGCAGCATCACTCCGTGCCCATTCTCCTAGCCCGGGCTATTGGCTGGCAGTGGAGGATGGGGAGTGACTCACCTCCAGAAAGGACAAGGGCCATGGTCACAGGGTGTCTGTTCATGATCACGGGGTGTCCGTTCCCCACAGCAGCACCAGTCACCCCAGGGTGTTCGGTTTGGTTTGTATAAACAACACACTGGGGGTTTATAAGAGAAGCACGAACGAACTATTAATTACAACGGCCCCTTCAGATGATGTCATCACAATAAACATGAGCCAAGAAATTGCAGAGCTAATAATCTGGAAGTGTTGCCACATTTAAAGACCATGATAACTCTGTGCACAATAAAGACAAATGGATGGATGGGTTGGTGCTGAGGAGAGACAGCGGGGAAGCAGAGATCAAGGAAAAGAGGAGGGGAAGCAGATTCAGCTTTTGCTGTACAGTTTTAAGGATAAGGCTGGGAGCTGCAGTGTGTCCTCGAGACACCTCGGCCCTGCAGAGCCTGGAACAACTCTGGCTCGGGGATGTACACGCAGAAAGGCTTTTCCCCAAACTCTGCCATGTTTCAGAGTCCCTTCCCAGCTGCTGCCCTGTTGGGGCAGGTGCCTGGCTATGCTGTGCTGGTGAGGGGGGCTTGAGCTGCAGCCTCGGAGCCAGGGCCCTGCACACAGCCTGGAGCACTCAAACAGTGCCAAACAGAGAGCGGCTCACGGCACCGCCGGCTCCTGCTGCTGGGAATAACAAGGGTGTTAAAGCTGGAGCAGCCCAGCCGCTGGCACGGCAGGAATGCTCCTCAGAGCAGTTAACCTTCAGAGAGCTGCTGCCATGTGCTCTGCCCTTAATTGCATGTGTGCCGATGGAATGCTGAACAGCTCTGTGTGCTTGGGCAGAGCGAGGCTGCTTCGCTCTCCTGCGGCGGCTGCTGCAGAGGGGTTTGCAGTGTGGGGCTGGGCCTTTGCTCCTGGAGGGGACACGTAGCCTTTGGCACACACTTTGGCTTTCCCTGCAGCGCTTCTGTCCCTTCTGAGGCCAGGCTGGTTGGTGAAGAGGCACGGCCATGCTGTGACCACCCCCGATGTGCCCCCGCAGAGCAGCCCAGGAGGTGAAGCGCTAGAATGGGACACGTCCACTCATGGTCCTGTCACTGGTGTCTCCCCACCTGCCGCTCCTCCGTCTCTACTGCTGCCCACCTGAAAAAGGGGAGCAATGACAACGAGCCCCTGGCAGGAGCTCCACTGCCACTGGCATGGACAAGCCATGGTTTTTAAGATGAGAATGGATGTGGCACTTAGTGCCCTGGTCTAGTAACCACGGTGGTGGATCAAGGGCTGGACCCGATGATCTCAGAGGTCTTTTCCAACCTGGTTGATTCTATGACTCTATGAAGCCCTCTGCTCCCTCATGGGACATGCAGCATCCCCTTGTGCTTGTTGGTGCAGCACTGCTGAGCTGTGCATTGCCAAAATGAAACTCTCATGTGGGACTTGGACCCAGGAATTACCTGGTCCTCCAAGCAGATGATCCAATATGTATTATTGGGTGCTTGCTTGGGCTTTTGAGGTTTCTCTCCTTTCCTGTTCATTCCCCAGTGCTGTGCCCAGAGGCTGAGGAGGGCCAGGCTGCTCTGTGCACCCCCAGACCCCCGGGCTGCACAGGGACTTGCTGCCAGCACTCCTTCATGTTTCTGCCCTGTGCATGGAAGGGCCACTGTGGGCAGCAGGCAGGACCCCTGGCTCCCACGTGCCTTAGCTTGAGGCAGAGGCCAGCTCTAAGCTCTCATTGGGAAAATGTGCTGTAGTAATTGTTCTTAACTGCTGGCTTCAGACGAGCTCTCTATTTTCAAAGGATACATTTTATAAATTTGTGAATTTGCATGTTGCCAAAATCCCCTTGTGGTTTATTTAAATCCAGATTATCTTGTTTATTCCTTCAGTCACAGCTGTCATTTATCTCTGTGTAGGCAGCTTGTTCACGACGTTGCAGGTTTCCTGCAATCCCACTCAAAAGGAGTCTTTGTTAACTGTATTTTCATGTTTTCAACAAGAGAAAAAAGTTCATAGCTGGGGGGCTTGGGGAACCGCAGAGGAGGACATGGATTTGCACGACTGCCATGGAAAGAGGTGATGGCCAGGTACTGCAAGTGTCACCTGCCCACAGAGCTTCCTCATGGTGGAATAAACATCTGCTTTTGTCTTCTGAAAAGACAAACATGAAGTCCTTTTCCTTTTTATTATTAACACATTCTGGTATAATTGCTTGAGCTGTCAGCTGTGACCTGCCAATAATTCAGCAGGCGTGGGACTTTCAAGGGGAGAGCGGCATTGCAACTGAGCCCGCAGAATGCATTAAGAGCAGAACCCATTTGCTGTAAGCCCCCGAGTCAAATCTCTTGTTGAATTTGTTCAAACATAAATTTACAGCTGAATTTACATAGGTTTAATGTTTTATAATCTTTTCGGTCTGTGAATCTATATTCAAGAGTGAGTGCATTAGCTCAGAAATATTGTGCTTAACGCTGAAAATAATTTTAATCTCTCCAAAGTCCAATCCTTTGCACATCACTAAACCTCAGAAGCCAATCCCTTCTAATAAGAGACACAAAACTTGCATCTGTCGCTGCCTAATAGATTCACACTGCTCTAATTCAAACAGCTCACACATGTCTGTTAAAAACCATTAAACACAAATTGTGAAGCACTTTCAGAAAAGCGGGTGCCAGTTCAGACTGGGGCCAAAGGAACACAAATTGTCCACAGGAGACTCACTGGAAGAGTTTAATGGTTAGGAATCTGGTGGCTGGGAGAAGAAGTGAACCATC